CAGTAGCTGGTTCTGCTGATGTTTTGGATGGTAGCTGGACCAGCTAATGTTTAGATGTTAACTGGACTTGCTGATGTTTGAATGGTAGTTGCAACTGCTGATGTTCGGATTGGTAGCTAGATCTGCTGATGGTTAGGTTGGTAGATGGTTCTGCTGATGTTTGGATTGGTAGCTAGATCTGCTGATGGTTAGGTTGGTAGATGGTTCTGCTGATGTTTGGATTGGTAGCTAGATCTGCTGATGGTTAGGTTGGATGATGGTTCTGCTGATGTTTGGATTGGTAGCTAGATCTGCTGATGGTTAGGTTGGATGATGGTTCTGCTGATGTTCGGATTGGTAGCTAGATCTGCTGATGGTTAGGTTGGATGATGGTTCTGCTGATGTTCAGATTGGTAGCTAGATCTGCTGATGGTTAGTTGGTAGAGGGATCTGCTGATGGTTAGGTTGGATGATGGTTCTGCTGATGTTCGGATTGATAGCTAGATCTGCTGATGGTTAGGTTGGATGATGGTTCTGCTGATGTTCAGATTGGTAGTTAGATCTGCTGATGGTTAGTTGGTAGAGGGTTCTGCTAATGTTTGGATGGTATATGGTTCTGCTGATGTTCAGATAGTAGCTGGATCTGCAGATGTTTGAAAGGTAGCTGGTTTTGCTGATATCAGAATGGTAGATGGTTCTGCTGATGTTTATATGGTAGCTGGACATGATGATGCTTGGATGGTAGTTGATTTCCCTAATGTTTAGATATTGCATGGTTCTGATGTGGTTTGGAAAGTAGCTGGTTCTGCTGATGTTTGGACAGTAGCTGGTTTTACTGATGTTTGGATGGTAGCTGGACCAGCTAATATTTAGATGTTAACTGGGCTTGCTGATGTCAGAATGTTAGATGGTTCTGCTGATGTTTGGATGGTCGCTGGACATGCTGATGTTGTCTTTCCCTAAGAATTAAATGCTCATGAAGTGAGCACACTCAGAGTGATTTAATATTGTATATATTTATTTTTAAAGGACCACTCTAGGCACCCAGACCACTTCAGCTTAATGAAGTGGTCTGGGTGCCAGGTCCTTCTAGGGTTAACCCATTTTTTAATAACACTACTTTACTGAGAGGGTAGTGGATGCATGGAATAGCCTTCCAGCTGAAGTGGTAGAGGTTAACACAGTAAAGGAGTTTAAGCATGCGTGGGATAGGCATAAGGCTATCCTAACTATAAGATAAGACTAGGGACTAATGAAAGTATTTCGAAAATTGGGCAGACTAGATGGGCCGAATGGTTCTTATCTGCCGTCACATTCTATGTTTCTATGTTTCTATGGTATGTTGAATATATTGCTTGTCTGTGCCTCTCCCCCTCCACCTTTTTCCTGTCCCATTGTTTCCCCAGCAGGGCGTTGTCCCAGGGACACTGCCAGACCAGTTTAAACTATCTGCTTTGTCCCTCCTCAATCTGCCATCAGGATCTTGGGATTGAAACCCCTGTTGTATTGTGTTGGAGATGTGCAAAAAAGCCACGTGTGACCAAATAAACCTCAGTTGACTCCCAGAACTGTGTGTCATCCAGTTACAGGGGGAATGGGCTATATCTAATATACAGCTCTTCCTTTCCAGCTTCAGAGAATCCCAGCGAGGATTTGGGATCTTAGTGTTGCAGCTCCGCTACACCTTCCTTCATTTAAAAAATGTAAAGACTTGCCTTAGAACTTAATCTTTTTACACCTCCAGGTCAGTAGCTTCTCGCTGTTGTGTAAAGTCAACAGTTGTGATGACCTTTTTCACAGAGAAACACTGGGGACATGCGCCAGTCACCATGCTCCAACAGTCATATGCTTCAAATGAAGAAGTTTGGATGGCAGAACGTTTGGCGCCATAAAGCCAAGCCGAACATGAAGACAAGTATCTAGTGACTACCAGTCTTACGGCTACAAATGTAGACGGTAATGTTTTAAATTGTCTGAAAAACAGAACAGGGTCTATGCACCAAAAGTAACACCTGAGGCACCTTTGTCAATATTATAGAATTTAGGGAGAGTCCAGAAGAAAAGACACGGCTTGTACATTTCCCTGGGCTTTTAGAAGAAAATGTTAGCATCTGTTTGTAAGCGAGGGATGCATCTTTAAGCATTTGTTTGACACATTGCATTCTCCTTTGTTCTGTGTTGAAGTAAACAATCATTTTGGAACGGGAGGGGGTGTTTGGGGCCAGGAATAAAGGACACGAGTGCTGCTTAGTTGGGCCTTTGGAGACCAAATCTGATTGTGTTTCTAGCGCTATTGATTTTAGCAGCAGCTGATATTTCAATCTGGGTGCAGTATGACTGAGAGTCTACGCACGCTGTCAAGAAGAAATATGATAGTGTCTTAAAAGATTAATAATTCTGCCGGGCCTCTGGAGGCCTATCTTAATTCACTGGCCTGTTCCCTTGCATGTTCTGTAATTTATCTAGTCTGATTTGAATAGCAAATGGCAATCGGCTGCCATTAGGGAAATGGGCATCAGTTTTATTGATCCAGTATGAGCTAGATTTTATTTAAGGAGAACAGCACCACACTATTAACTGCCAGAAGAAGGATAATACAAAACTGGAGGATCGCCCGCTGCAATGCTTTATATTTTCCGTGCAAACAGGTTATTAAAAACGTGCAGTTATTACGAACCTGTGCGATATATAGAGCGTGCGTTCAGTGATCTGACTTAGAGCTGTAAGATCTTCTCGGATTTATCCACCAAGGTAAAACCAGTCAATGTGTTTGGATGAATGGATTCCCTTGGGAAGCAGCACGTGATCTTTCTAATCTACCACCATGATATCTACCATTAAGCACCATTTAGGGGGCAGATTCCTATAGAGCCTATACGTTTGGGCTTGGTGATTGCTCGTCGCCGACTGTCTATAAATCTCTGTCCTCCCAATCCCTAATTCACCAAATTGTGAAGAATCACTTCCATAGTTCGCGATCTCGTCAATCTAATATATAGAGAGTTGGTAAATAAAGCAGGATAATGGGTTAGGTGGGTCATTTCACAGTCCCGTTCCACAGGCAATGCTCCCAGAAAAGTATTAATATAAAACACACAAAGTATGCAGAGTATTAATGTGCAACACACACAGTATGTGGAGTATTAATATAAAATGCACGTAGTATGAGGAGTATTAATATAAAACACACTTAGTATGAGGAGTATTACTGTAAAACACACACACACACAGTATGAGGAGTATTAATATAAAACGCACGTAGTATGCAGAGTATTAATGTGCAACACACACAGTATGTGGAGTATTAATATAAAATGCACGTAGTATGGGGAGTATTAATGTAAAACACACACACAGTAAGATGAGTATTAATGTACAACACACACAGTATGCGGAGTATTAATATAAAATGCATGTAGTATGGAGAGTATTAATGTAAAACACACACAGTATGGGGAGTATTCATGCAAAACACACACACAGTATTGGGAGTATTAATATATAATATAATAAAAGCACGTAGTATGCAGAGTATTAATGTACAACACACACATTATGCAGAGCATCAGTGTAAAACACACAATGTATGGGGAGTATTAATGTAAAACACACAGTATGCAGAGTATTAATATAAAACACACATAGTATGGGGAGTATTAATGTAAAACACACATAGTATGGAGAGTATTAATGTAAAACACACATAGTAGGGAGAGTATTAATGTAAAACACACATATTATGGAGAGTATTCATGTAAAACACACATAGTATGTGGAGTATTAATGTAAAACACACATAGTATGCAGAGTATTAATGTAAAACACACATAGTAGGGAGAGTATTAATGTACAACACACAGTATGCAGAGCATCATTGTAAAACACACATAGCATGGGGAGTATTAATGTAAAACACACATTATGCATAGTATTAATATAAACCACTCATAGTATGCAGAGTATTAATGTAAACTACACATAGTATAGATAGTATTAATATAAAGCACACAGTATGCAGGGTATCAATATAAACGACACATAGTATGGAGAGTATTAATGTAAAAAACACACATAGTATGTAGAGTATTAATGTAAAAAACACACATAGTATGGAGAGTATTAATGTAAAACACACATAGTATGCAGAGTATTAATGTAAAACACATTATGCAGAGTATTAATGTACAACACACATAGTATGGAGAGTCTTAATGTAAAACACATTATGCAGAGTATTAATGTACAACACACATAGTATGCAGAGTATTAATGTAAAACGCATTATGCAGAGTATTAATGTACAACACACATAGTATGCAGAGTATTAATGTAAAACACATTATGCAGAGTATTAATGTACAACACACATAGTATGCAGAGTATTAATGTAAAACACATTATGCAGAGTATTAATGTACAACACACATAGTATGGAGAGTATTAATATAAAACACACAGTATGCAGAATATTAATATAAACCACACATAGTATGGATAGTATTAATGTAAACCACACATAGTATGGAGAGTATTAATGTAAAATACATATTATGTAGAGTATTAATGTAAAAAAAACACATAGTATGGAGAGTATTCATTTAAAATACATAGTACTATAGCTGTTGATGTAAAACACATAGTACGGAGTGATTTTGTCAAATATGTATGGTAGTATGGGTATTAATTGAAAACACATGGAACAAACAAGTATTTATGAGTATTGATTTAAACCAGTATATAATTGGTATTGATGAGTGCAGATAGATTGATAGCTATTGCTATCAACCACACAATATGATGGATGTTGATTTAAAACATACAGAGTTTAATGGAAATTGATGTAAAACACACACAGTATTATGGATATTAATGTAAGACACACACAGTATGATTAGTATTAATGTAAAACACACACAGTATGATTAATATTAAAGTAAGACACCCACAGTATTATGGGTATTAATGTAAAACATACACAGTATGATGAGTATTAACGTAAGACACACACAGTATGATGAGTATTAACGTAAGACACACAGTAGTCTCGTGGGTGCTTGGTATTGCGAGCCGCGTAGACCCGTCCACCTTTGGGTGCCAATACGCCGAGCTTGTTGGGGTCTGTCCCTCCTGCTTTTCCTCCTCGCAGGGGTGTTGCCGAGACCTCTATGCTTGCCGGGGCTCCAATGGGCAGTAGTAGGTGCATGCCCCTCGGGTGCAATGGCTTGTTGCTGGTGTGTAGCCTGTATACTTGTCCCGGTCGTGGGCTGCTCATGGTGTACGGCCCTGGCTGGTTGTCGTGCCGTGGGTGTTCTGGGTTTCTTCCCGAGATTTAGTGGCTGAGGCAGCCGGTGTTTATTTGCTAGCTTAGCCCAGAACTGCTCCCACATGGCTTCGAACCTTGCATTAGAGGCTGCCTCCCAGTCGCTGGGGGTCTGTTGCGGTGTTTGGGTGATGATGCCGTCGTCCATTTTGATCGTGCCTCGCGGCTCTCTCTTGTCCGCCGCGCACCTAAGTGCAGCACTTTGTTGAGTGCTCTCCGCTCTGGTGTGTGGACCGGTATGACCCACACCGGTCCTGGGTGGGAGGCGGGAGACTTTTCCCTGGGATTTTGTTCCCTGCTCTCGTGCCAGTGGAGCGGCCGTCTCCTCGTGGCTTGGTCGCGAGTAGGCCGCAGGCCTCGATTTGTTCAGTTTGCTGGTCTGGTGCTTGGGAGAGGTACCGTTCTATGCAGTAGCCCCTCCAGGTTGTGGATCTCTTGGTCTGCGGCTTGTGGGTAAGAATTTGTGGGTTTAATTCCTGGTATTCTGTCCCCAGACATGGGAGCTCTCTCCAAACACGTCTGGGCTGCATGGCTCCGCCCCCAGTATGATGGATATTAATGTAAGACACGCAGTATGATGGGTATTAACGTAAGACACACAGTATGATGGATATTAACGTAAGACACGCAGTATGATGGGTATTAACGTAAGACACACAGTATGATGGATATTAACGTAAGACACGCAGTATGATGGGTATTTACGTAAGACACGCAGTATGATGGGTATTAACGTAAGACACACAGTATGATGGGTATTAACGTAAGACACGCAGTATGATGGGTATTAACGTAAGACACACAGTATGATGGGTATTAACGTAAGACACGCAGTATGATGGATATTAACGTAAGACACGCAGTATGATGGATATTAACGTAAGACACACAGTATGATGGATATTAACGTAAGACACGCAGTATGATGGGTATTAACGTAAGACACGCAGTATGATGGGTATTAACGTAAGACACGCAGTATGATGGGTATTAACGTAAGACACATAGTATGATGGGTATTAACGTAAGACACGCAGTATGATGGGTATTAACGTAAGACACGCAGTATGATGGGTATTTACGTAAGACACACAGTATGATGGGTATTAACGTAAAACACGCAGTATGATGGGTATTAACGTAAGACACGCAGTATGATGGGTATTAACGTAAGACACACAGTATGATGGGTATTAACGTAAGACACACAGTATGATGGGTATTAACGTAAGACACGCAGTATGATGGGTATTAACGTAAGACACGCAGTTTGATGGGTATTTACGTAAGACACACAGTATAATGGGTATTAACGTAAGACACGCAGTATGATGGGTATTAACGTAAGACACACAGTATGATGGGTATTAACGTAAGACACACAGTATGATGGATATTAACGTAAGACACGCAGTATGATGGGTATTAACGTAAGACACGCAGTATGATGGGTATTAACGTAAGACACACAGTATGATGGGTATTAACGTAAGACACGCAGTATGATGGTATTAACGTAAGACACGCAGTATGATGGGTATTAACGTAAGACACACAGTATGATGGGTATTAACGTAAGACACACAGTATGATGGTATTAACGTAAGACACGCAGTATGATGGGTATTAACGTGAGACACGCAGTATAATGGGTATTAACGTAAGACACGCAGTATGATGGGTATTAACGTAAGACACACAGTATGATGGGTATTAACGTAAGACACGCAGTATAATGGGTATTAACGTAAGACACACAGTATGATGGATTATAACGTAAGACACGCAGTATGATGGATATTAACGTAAGACACACAGTATAATGGGTATTAACGTAAGACACACAGTATGATGGGTATTAACGTAAGACACGCAGTATGATGGGTATTAACGTAAGACACGCAGTATGATGGGTATTAACGTAAGACACGCAGTATGATGGGTATTAACGTAAGACACGCAGTATGATGGGTATTAACGTAAGACACGCAGTATGATGGGTATTAACGTAAGACACGCAGTATGATGGGTATTAACGTAAGACACGCAGTATGATGGGTATTAACGTAAGACACACAGTATGATGGGTATTAACGTAAGACACGCAGTATAATGGGTATTAACGTAAGACACACAGTATGATGGATTATAACGTAAGACACGCAGTATGATGGATATTAACGTAAGACACACAGTATGATGGGTATTAACGTAAGACACGCAGTATGATGGGTATTAACGTAAGACACGCAGTATGATGGGTATTAACGTAAGACACACAGTATGATGGGTATTAACGTAAGACACGCAGTATGATGGGTATTAACGTAAGACACACAGTATGATGGATATTAACGTAAGACACGCAGTTTGATGGGTATTTACGTAAGACACACAGTATGATGGATATTAACGTAAGACACGCAGTATGATGGGTATTAACGTAAGACACGCAGTTTGATGGGTATTTACGTAAGACACACAGTATGATGGGTATTAACGTAAGACACACAGTATGATGGGTATTAACGTAAGACACACAGTATGATGGATATTAACGTAAGACATACAGTATGATGGATTATAACGTAAGACGCAGTATAATGGGTATTAACGTAAGACACGCAGTATGATGGGTATTAACGTAAGACACACAGTATGATGGGTATTAACGTAAGACACACAGTATAATGGATATTAACGTAAGACACGCAGTATGATGGGTATTAACGTAAGACACGAAAGTAAGGATGGGTATTAACGTGAAGACACGCAGTATGATGGGTATAAACGTAAGACACGAAAGTATGATGGGTATTAACATAAGACACGCAGTATAATGGGTATTAACGAAGACACGCGAAAGTATGATGGTATTAACGCAAGACACGCAGTATAATGGGTATTAACGTACATTACCTAGTATGATGGGTGGCTAATCGCAAGAAGGGTTACCAGTATGATGGGTATTAACGTAAGACACACAGTATGATGGGTATTAACGTAAGACACACAGTATGATGGATATTAACGTAAGACACGCAGTATGATGGGTATTAACGTAAGACACGCAGTATGATGGGTATTAACGTAAGACACGCAGTATGATGGATATTAACGTAAGACACGCAGTATGATGGGTATTAACGTAAGACACGCAGTATGATGGGTTTTAACGTAAGACACGCAGTATAATGGGTATTAACGTAAGACACGCAGTATGATGGGTATTAACGTAAGACACGCAGTATGATGGGTATTAACGTAAGACACACAGTATGATGGGTATTAACGTAAGACACACAGTATGATGGATATTAACGTAAGACATACAGTATGATGGATTATAACGTAAGACGCAGTATAATGGGTATTAACGTAAGACACGCAGTATGATGGGTATTAACGTAAGACACACAGTATGATGGGTATTAACCTAAGACACACAGTATAATGGATATTAACGTAAGACACGCAATATGATGGGTATTAACGTAAGACACGCAGTATGATGGGTATTAACGTAAGACACGCAGTATGATGGGTATTAACCTAAGACACACAGTATAATGGATATTAACGTAAGACACGCAATATGATGGGTATTAACGTAAGACACACAGTATGATGGGTATTAACGTAAGACACACAGTATGATGGTATTAACGTAAGACACGCAGTATGATGGGTATTAACGTGAGACACGCAGTATAATGGGTATTAACGTAAGACACGCAGTATGATGGGTATTAACGTAAGACACACAGTATGATGGGTATTAACGTAAGACACGCAGTATGATGGGTATTAACGTAAGACACACAGTATGATGGGTATTAACGTAAGACACGCAGTATGATGGGTCATTAACGTAAGACACGCAGTATGATGGGTATTAACGTAAGACACGCAGTATGATGAGTATTAACGTAAGACACGCAGTATAATGGGTATTAACGTAAGACACACAGTATAATGGGTATTAACGTAAGACACACAGTATGATGAGTATTAACGTAAGACACACAGTATGATGGATATTAACGTAAGACACACAGTATGATGAGTATTAAGGTAGGGCACACGCAGTATGATGGGTACAACGCGTAGCACACACAGTATGATGGGTATTAACGCGGAGACACGCAGTATAATGGTATTACAACGTAAGACACACAGTATGATGGGTATTAACGTAAGACACGCAGTATGATGGGTATTTACGTAAGACACGCAGTATGATGGGTATTAACGTAAGACACGCAGTATGATGTGTATTAACGTAAGACACACAGTATGATGAGTATTAACGTAAGACACGCAGTATGATGGGTATTAACGTAAGACACACAGTATGATGGGTATTAACGTAAGACACACAGTATGATGGTATTAACGTAAGACACGCAGTATGATGGGTATTAACGTAAGACACACAGTATGATGGGTATTAACGTGAGACACGCAGTATAATGGGTATTAACGTAAGACACGCAGTATGATGGGTATTAACGTAAGACACGCAGTATGATGGGTATTAACGTAAGACACACAGTATGATGGGTATTAACGTAAGACACGCAGTATAATGGGTATTAACGTAAGACACACAGTATGATGGATTATAACGTAAGACACGCAGTATGATGGATATTAACGTAAGACACACAGTATAATGGGTATTAACGTAAGACACACAGTATGATGGGTATTAACGTAAGACACGCAGTATGATGGGTATTAACGTAAGACACGCAGTATGATGGGTATTAACGTAAGACACACAGTATGATGGGTATTAACGTAAGACACGCAGTATGATGGATATTAACGTAAGACACGCAGTATGATGGGTATTAACGTAAGACACACAGTATGATGGGTATTAACGTAAGACACGCAGTATGATGGGTATTAACGTAAGACACACAGTATGATGGGTATTAACGTAAGACACGCAGTATGATGGGTATTTACGTAAGACACGCAGTATGATGGGTATTAACGTAAGACACGCAGTATGATGGGTATTAACGTAAGACACGCAGTATGATGGGTATTAACGTAAGACACGCAGTATGATGGGTATAAACGTAAGACACGCAGTATGATGGGTATTAACATAAGACACGCAGTATAATGGGTATT